CCAATTGGAGAAAGGTGCCTGAATCAAAGTTGTAACCAAATGAGTTAGATTTCCAACGTAGTTTGAATTGCCTCAATCGGATATCTGAATACAATTTTATGATAATAACACTGAAAGAATGTGCAACTGCCTGTTTAAAACAAGAAATTCCGTTACATAGTCCGTTAAAACAACAAATTTCGGTAGTTTTTCCGTTAAAAACAAGAAATTCTGTTACATAGCTACTTTTAATATATAGAAGATATAAGGCTAAGGTATTCAAATGCTCTTAGCTTAGACAGATGTGCAGTCGGCAGCTTTACCCACTAAACAAGAGCAAATGTCGAGAGATTTCAGGACTATAGCAAAGAATTGCAACACTATTGACTCAATCGGAGGGACAATTGCCGTGCAACTATGCTTTCTGTAGTCCCTGCTATGCGAGCAATAGGGAATCCTCAAGAGGACGAGGAGCATCCATTTCTTTCGTCGAAGAACTTCTTCCTCTAGATAGTTGGCAAGAATCTGTTCTTGGTGGTAGGGCATGCTAGCGGCCAAGAGAGAGGTATCATCCTCGATCAATAAGCTGGAGGTGTCGATTAACCAACATCATATGCTTCCGCATCACATGAATAGTTCATAACAAACAATATTTTTGTGCACATAGATGATTCTCTCTCTTTTGATTGACAACGATTTGTTTTTCCTCATATCCTAGTTTATCTAAAAATAAAAATTTAACGTCTACTTATACTTTAGCGTAGCAAAACATGCCCTAGCTGCCTAGTTGAATAGCAGATGACTAAAAACAAAAATATAGTTTTGACTCTCAAATTTGTGTTCGTGCAGGAAATTAATATCTTTTATATCAAATTTCAACAAAGAAAAAAAATAAAATAATTAACTCGACTCCGAATTAATTTTTATTTATTAAAATTTATGGCATATCATTGTTACGTGTCAATACGACACAAGACCACAGCAGCAGCATCATCATCCTTATGTTCCTATCAATTAACCACAAATATTGACTAACACGTATATATCACCATGCATCTGTCCCTATAAAATCTTGGAAAGTGTGCAATTATATCAGCATCTTTTCCCTGCAACGATTATCCGTTTTTTTACTTCAATAATTGTTGTGATTAATTGGAAGGAAAAAAGAAAATGGCTGCCATGGAAGAACCAATTCTCTCTAGACTAAACCGACTGGATAACATTGTAAGTCAATTTATCATCTTTTTCATTTTTTTTTTCTGAATATATTTATTAGACTGTAAAATTAAGCAGCCCTTTTGAGTTATGATTTCTTGTTAATTTGGATGGAATGGTAATTTTTTTTTTTTTTGGTGGGTTGGATGCGAAACTCGGACTGCCTTTTACACCCTCTGGTTATTTGGGATTCTATTCAATTAATCTGATTGCCAATATTTAGGAATTTTTTTGTGACGACGCAAAAGTAGTAGAAGAATTCGTCTTGTTACCCGTTGGTTGAGGTCAAAGATTCAAGTATCGATACCTCGCTCCGCCCCACGTAAAAAGGGGGGAAAATTTTGTTAGTGTCAAGGGGTTTTATAAGGAAGTTTGTGATCTAGGTAGATTTTTTATTGTATCAAGGGGTGCAAAGCATGGTATTTATAATCATACATGCATCGATGACATGGTTATATTTGGAGGGGAATTAAGGGTATGTTTGGCTAAGCTTAAAATCTAATTAAAATTGAAAATATAGTCGATATTGAGTCTCACTCGTCTAATAAAAGTGAACAATAAATGTTAGTTTTTCAATTTTAATCCGATTTTAATTTCTATCAAACACGCCCTAAATGAGTCGGTTTTATTTTCTTAGTACAAAGTTTGAATGAGAAGTTTCAGCTATTAGGATTTCAGTTAAATATTTGACAGTAGTCAGGCTTCTACGAGACAAGTTAAGTTCCACCATAACTTAGTGAACAGCGAATGGAAAGTTAGGTTAGGTTGGAGCGAGAATGGTTGGTAACATATTACTCCACAAAGAGTAGATTGAATCTTTTCTTTATCGCGATGAAACTCTATTTGAGATTGGACTCAAATATGTAGATATTCCATTTGTTTTGTTTTTTCGTATACCTTTTCATATTCAGTATGATTTCCTTTTGATGGTTTGTGAAGTGGACTATCTAAAATTGACAAATACCTATGAAACACAAGTGACTCGTGCATTTCTATGTTTTCAATATTGTGCTAACCTCTGGTTTCTGGAGTAAATTTTTTAATTCATCTGATACTTGAGTAGCATACTTTGAGTTTTAATCATGGGGAAATTTAGTTGAAACAATTGGAAGACACTAGGAGCCTTAGCCATTCTCCCAAAAGCTCGGGTGCATACACTTTCTCAAGTGGAATGCTCACAAGCGACGGCCAGGCATCATCAGTTGATTCCTCGCCAAAAAGCTTGGAGAAGCACTGCCGGCCCATCAATGAAGTGATATTGGAAGTCGAGAGCAAGGGTACACTCATTGAAAGACTAGTCCACGTGGAGGACCGTGTGTTGAAGGTAACACGATGAAACAAAACTACTCATTTGTTAATCACTTAAGTGAAGGTGAGAAACATGCGAAAACATCTGATTATTTTTGTGCTACCAGAATTGTTTGCAGTTAGAAGAAGTGCTCGAGGCAGAGAAGCACAGAGGGGAGACAGCGGAAGTAGAGAAGAATTCACCTAAGAAGGTCCTGAAGAAGATTCTGAAAACTTGTGTAAGAGGAGGACATGGGAAGCAAATGATCAGAGCTTGATACATAGATAGTTTAAAGACTGTTTAGGCATGTGATGCAAGTTTTTTAGCATATTTTGTGTGTTTTTTTTCCTTAACAGTACTTTAATGACTAAGCATGTCTACTTGTAATTTATATTAGTTCTTTTGTTTAGTCGAAAAAGATAATTCTCCTCATCAAATATGATTTGATCGAGAGACTTGATTACACTATTCGTGCTCAGGATCACGTGGATCCACTTGTGTACGTGAAAGTTGTTTTTAAAATCTATATCAAACAAAGTTCTACGTAAGGTGTTTGGATTTTCTTCATTATCGTAAGGGATCCTAGGCATTATAGTGGGCAGGGATCAAACCATAAGCCCTTAATTCATTGAAATTGTTAAAAAATTATTATATTAACTACGTTTTAATATATTATTGGTACTTGACCATAATTAATGATTTTTGAGCTATATTAAACTATTTTCAAACCAGATGTGTTAAGTGAGAAATAAAAATGGAACCAACCACCATAGTTCCTGTTATGTTTTGGGACTCAAATAATTGGAAGTTTGATTCATGAAGGAAGCTTAGATAATGTTGGTTTGGAAGTTCGATTTGATGAGAGATCAAATTTAATTATGAATTGAAAGTTTGATTGGGAAAATAACTTTGAAATGGATAAAAACATGTTTAGAACGTTTTGGGATAGAACCGGGGCGCCGGAAGCGCAAAAGGGAGTAGAAGGGCCAGAGTTCCAGCGTTGGTCTCTCGGCGTCGGGACGCCAGAGGCAACGTCGCAGCGCCACCTGTTCGGGGGGAATTTCACCCATGTTTTTTGACCCGATTTTTTGTTCTACTTCATCTATAACTCCAAGATTTGGCTCCTATAAATACTCCACAAGGTGCAGACTTTTTATACACTCAACATAACAATTATATCATTATTGTATACATTAGAAACTTAAGAGAATTGTTTAGATTTAGATTAAAAGTATCAAATCTTGTAACACAATTTTTAGTTTCTTGGTATAATAAATTCCCTTCTTCTACAAAATCTTGTGTTCTTATTTGATCCATTATTTTCATATTGTCCATATTTTCTCATCTTTAATTATTTGGCCGGATTCATAACAAGTGATATTAGAGAGATTTTGGTATCTTATTTGTTTTCCAACAAAGTGGTATTAGAACCGAGGTTTTGGCGGGTTCTTGGGAGGTTTAAACTGTATATTAAAGCGATGTTTGAATAAGGTCAATTGACAACTATGAAATTCAAAATGTTGTTTTTGGATTGCAACAATAGATTCTCTTTGTTGCAAATCAAGATGCAAGCAGTTTTTTGCTCAATTGGATCTTGATGATGCTTTGTTGGAGATAGAAAGGATGCCCGCAACAATGACCTCAGAGGAGAAGCAATGCAAGGACCGAAAAGTCCTATCACAGATACATCTTCATCTTTCCAATCAAACTCTTCATGATGTGATAAAGGAAAAAAGTGCAGCGGGTTGTAGTTAAAATTGGAGTAACTTTGTATGACAAAGAGCTTGATAAGTAAGTTACACTTGAAGTAACGCTTGTATTCTCATTGCATGATGGAAGATGGATCTTTAGAAGATCATATATCGGTGTTCAAGAAAATTGTCGTTGATTTGGAGACCATGGAGGTCAAATATGATGAAGATGATAGGGTTAATATTGTTATGTTCGTTGCCGTCTTCATATATGGCTTTTAGAAATACCATTCTCTATAGTCGAGATACTCTTACTATTGATGAGGTATACGATGCGTTTTATTCTAAAGGGAAGATAAAGCATTTGATCGTCGATTCTGAGGCCCAGACAACGGCTCTTGTTGTTCGTGAAAGGAAGATAAGTGGTCATGGAAGGGGCAGAGTTAAGGATAGAAATAGTGATAAAGTCTGTTCTTGGTATTATAGCAACAAGGAGCACATGAAGATGGATTGTTATGAGTGACACAACATATTTGCTACTACAGATTAGAAGAAACAACTAGAAAATTTTGATTATGTCAATCTCGCAGAAGAAGACAGTGATGTAGATCTTTTGGCAATTATTGAAGGTGACTCCAAATATGACGAGGATTTGATTTTTAATTCAGCTTACACTTTTCATGTGTTCAAATAGAGATTGGTTTTCTTCATATGAAACAGTTACAAGGGGTTCCGTTATGATGAGAAATAATAAGCCTTGTAAAATCGTTGTGATTGGTAATGTCAAAATCAATATTTTTGATGTGACAGTTAAAACACTTTTTCAAGTTCAACATGTTCCAGGTATAAACAAGAATGTAATCCCTTTGAGTACTCCTGATTCAAAAGGGTACATAAATATGTGTGGAAATGGAGTTATGAAAGTTAGTAAGGGTACCTGGGTTATGTTAAGGGGGCGGAGAAAGTCTCGGTTATATGTTTTAGAAGTTTCGGTGATCACTGAAAATTAGTGATGTCAAGATGGGCGGGGCCGCCCAGGCCTGCATGGAGGCGAACCAACCAGAAATTCTGCCCACGAACCGAGTGGGCAGAATCACGGGCCGCCCGGACCTGAAACCGGTCGGAGCCGATTTAAGAAAAACTGCTGGCTTGTGTTTTTTAAAAAAATAAAATAAATTTTTTAAAAAAAGCCTGCAGCCGAAGTGACCGAACGGTCACAGGTCAAATCCTGTTACCGTTTTTCTGACATTTTTATTTTTATTTTATTTTATTTTTTATCGAAAATGGCAATGTATAGTAATGGTAATTTTTTTTTTTTTTATAAATTGTGGTATTGTGAAGTGAAAAAATAGTAAACTCTCACAATCT